ACTTACCCGAGTTGTACCGTACTTAAATAACGGTCGATAATTGTTGAAGGGTTAAAACCGTCAAATTACTAAACTTATTATAATTATAATATTATAATATATCTATATATATATATATATATATATATATATATATAAAGTTAAAAAAAAAATTTGACTTCGCTGGCTTCTTCATCTTCTTCTGCATCAACCTCCCTTCTCCCTCTCATCTCTCTCTCTAAACTTTTTTCTTCTCTTTAAGATATTTCTCAAATCGTTAAAGCAATCGAAGTAACGATTATATATTCGGAATCCACTCTTCGAACCCTTCATAAAGGTATAAATTTCATTCACTTTTATTAGGATGTTTATTTTAGCATTTTTTTAAACCGGTTTATAAATGATGTTATGTCTAAGTTTACGGATTGATATTGTTATAAGTATGATATATTTCATGTTTACAATGCTAGGATTGATAAATTGATGTAGAAATTAAAAGGGTAGATTATGGTTTCATTATGGTTAGATTTGGTGTATATGTTTAACGGTACACCAATTGTTCGATATAATGCCGAAAAGAGTAAAATTGCATGATTAAGCTTAAGTTAGTGACCATTGAACTTGTTTTTACTGTTTAGTATGTTGAAACATATTTATAGCACGTAAATGTAGCGAATCATGAAATTTGGATTATAAAAGTTAGTCGGGAATTGCGGAATCGGATTTTACCGACTATGCAGGTCCATACTTTGACCGTGTATAACTTACAAACCGTAAGTCGAAATAAGCTCATATTTTGTAGTTCGAAAGCCCTTAATATATACTACAACTTTCATGTAGGGTCGAAAATCCAGTTATGAATCTAAGTGGCCCAAAACAGTGTGTTTTCGGGGCTGTTTACAATGTATTTAGGATTGATCTGTTTTTTTGTAATATTCGTATAAAATAGATGGATAATCCAAACGAGGTGATTCGAAAACCAGTTGTTTCATTTCATATCATACTACATCTTTTGTTTAAATAGTATCTTCTGTATTGGTCTCTAAGTAGGTTAAAAATGCTCCCGAAAATGAGGGTCAAAAGCTATTAAAAGTCGAAACGGAATTATATAAAGCTAAGTGTTGCGTCGATTTCGTAATACATATTCGGCTGTCGTGTTTGAAGTTTAAGTTGTTTATAAACATGTAAGACCTAAGTAGTTTATTAGTAGAATTAAGATATGATCTTACGTTGTTTAAGTAATAACCGATTTGCGCATTCGTTAGGCACGCGAACAAGTCGAACTTTACCCTGAATCTCGTTTGATCGTGCTTTACTTTTCTGTTCTGCTTAAGGTACGGATTTCACTTTCTTTGACTCTTGGGCAACTAGTTGTTGTAGTTGACCCTTCGTAACGGTGGTTCACCACTTTGTGATTGATCGCTTAAAAGTGGTCAATAAATTACGTACTTATATATATATATATATATATATATATATAAACTCTTGAACCTTTATCGTAAACTCTTGAATGTTTATCGTGAACACTTGATTTTTAGTTCGTTGAATTATATGTTTGAATCTTTCAATTTTGTTAAATTGATTGTCATATTTTGAAGTAGTTTCGAGTTTTATGAAGTACTTTGAATATTGACTTTTTATGAACGTCATTCGGGTAGTGGCACATGTTTAGTTTTATTGGTTTTCAGAACAATCCAATTAATGGGCGCATTATTTGGGATGCCTTCTATGGCGGCTTTGTAGTCATGGCGTCCTGCAGGTGAACTCGGTCTATAAGGTTAGGCCCAATAGTGGCTTACGTGAACCCACCTTGTGGACTAGGCTGATTTTATTGGCCCAGGGCGGATGGATCGATCCTAGGATTACCCACCATGTGACCGTGGTTAAATTCACGGGGGACTCGGGGTGCGTGCCCGCACGCCGGCCCGATAGTTCGTGTGGTTTGGCCACCCCACGAACACTACAGGAATTGACAGATTGTGTTTAAATGATGTTTTGAAATGAGAACTGTGAAACGTCTTGATTTTATATAAATTCAGTTTCATTGATTTTTAAGTCTTCCGCTTTATTATCGATGTTACGTATTATTATTTCAAGTTTATATACAATCTGTTCACTGAGCCCTGTGCTCAGCCATGTTCTTGTTTTCTGACACGGCAAGTTCCAAGTGATTCTGATAAGGGACGGGACTTGAGATCGAGTGTTTGACTTTTTGGAGTTGGTAAACTCGTTGGTAGATGTATAATATTCTAAACTTATAAATAGTTGATAGAATGTACTATTTTGGATTGTAAAGCATGTTTTAGAAGTTAATCTACGTTTGGAGTTTATTAGTAGCTCTGCAATGTTTGTGTCTTAGAATTAAGTCCCGTTAGTGACACCGCCGGTTCCAGACCACGGGGACGGGGGATGTTACAATCAAGATGCTTGGTTCAAAGTTTTCTACCTAAGATGTTTCTCACATTCGTGGTTCATCTTTTTTGATAAGAATTTCAATTTTAACCATGGATATCCTGAGTGGATGATCAAATGGTTTCAGTATTTAGGAAATATAATTGAAGCTTTTCCTAAGNTTTTTGATAAGAATTTCAATTTTAACCATGGATATCCTGAGTGGATGATCAAATGGTTTCAGTATTTAGGAAATATAATTGAAGCTTTTCCTAAGTCTGTTCAAGATGGATTTTCAAAATTTCAAGAACTATATCCTCAGAAGATTTCCAAAGGTGAATATCTCCTTCAATTCACCATTTTGTTCAAAATTCCATGGATCTTAACATGGAAATTCTTAGTGAAAGAAGAAGAAACCACTTCCTCAACATTTCTATACCGCGTATCAAATGTTAAGTGGTGGGACAAGTTACCTGCTGATCAAACGATAAAAATGACAATCCAAGGAGTTGTTAATTATTTTACTCAATCCAAAGGCTTCGGTGTTCCAAGTACTTTAGAGAATGTTCATCCTGTTCAAACTAGTTTAACTAAAGAAGAAGATGATGAGCTTCAAAGTCTTTTGAATGCTCCATCCCCAGAAGAAATGAGAAGATTGTTTCAAGAGATTAAGAAGTTTGCACAGGGTTCATCTAGTTCTAACCTTGAAGATGATCAAAATTTGTTTCAAGATTCTCAAAACCCTTACGATGAGTTTAGTCCTTTCGACTACAATCATGTAAAGCGTGTGTTTTGGTGCCTTGACATTGTTAGCAAGATTGTTCTTAAAAGATGGTCAAATTGGTTGATGGTCAAAAATATTATCAATACAAATTCTTTCTGTATTGATAAAATTATATGTTGTTCAAATATGCTGTTCAAACTATTAGTTTCAGGTCTTCAAAGATGCCCACTTCAGCTGCTCACTTTGTCAGCTCGTCAAAAAGGAAGATGCCCACTTTAGGCAAGATTGTCAAAAGTAGCTTTTACTTTTTGAAAGTAGCTTTTACTTTTGTCTTTAGCCAAGATTGTCAAAAATAGCTTTTACTTTTGTCTGCCATTCTACGGACTTCAAATGATGATCTTCAAATCCGTAGCAGCCGATTCCCGATAAAAGTAGATCAATCGTTGTTGTTGTTCAAAGACATGTGCCGGTTTCACCTTTTCAAGATGCCTATATAAGAATTATAAGGTTGAAGAATCAAGACATCGAAAAATTAGCCAACAATGTTATGTCTAGAGAAAGAAAGCCTTCCCTTGTTTTCTTAACCTCAAGATGTTCAAAATCTTTAGATTTTAATTTAGTCATAGCTTCAAGAGTTTGTTCAAATTGTAGCAAAGAAGTTTGTATCAATACCAAACAAGGTACCTTTTGATTTATGCTTGCCTTGCTTATTTAATTTTATTGTGAAAAGTTTTATGGTAATTTTGATCCTGCCCCATCACTAAAAAATTAATAATTTGCTAAAAATGAGTAATAAAACCCAGATATTTTGTAATTTAAATAATAGACACCAAACTAAGATAATGGGTTTAGGGTTTAGGGTTTAATTCTATATATTACTGCTATCGCTTTTGTGTCTATAGTGAATTCTAAATTCTTAGTCTTAATTGTTAAAACTAAAGTGTCTAAAATGTTTGGATCAAATAAACCTACTGAGAAATTTGGGTAACAATTAAAGTATATTGGGCCATTAGATATATTTGTTTCTGCCATAGCTAAAATTAAAATTTTGAAAATTTGTGTGCCTAGCATCTCTTAAGACTAAAAGTACTGGAGCATCTATGCCTAATCTAAATAAGGGTTTAATAGCTACTTGAACTAATCCTATATGCATAAATTTATATTTTTGTCTATGTAAAATTATAGATTTTTCTGACAGGAGGTTGATACTCTCATAATCTTTGTTTATAGAAAATGGTTTGTTCATTAGCTTTAATCGAATAACCTTGAAAAAAGTCAAAAGTTCCTATTTGATAAATCGTCTTAGGGTTTTGTTTTGGAATCGATCAATTAGTAAGACTTTGTTCGATATCTGAGATATGAATTTCAGAAGAATTCATATGAAGATCATGTTCTTCATTGATTTCTTTATTTGAATTATGTCTTTTAGAAAATAAATTCATCATCTTAATTGTAAAATAAAAGTATGTTATAGAGATAATTTAGATTTATTTGAAAATTTTGTTACCTAGTGACTTCTGTATCCGTCGGGGACCACCATGATTGGACCACCTTTCTTTTGGACTGGTATGGCTGCACGTCTTACGCTCTCTGGTGTGTGACTTACGCTACTCCAACGTCCAAGGCTAAACCAACGCCAGGCTTATTCAAATGCTACGGATACATAATCACTGGACAACTTCATTTTCATATAAATCTCTATTATATCTAAACAACTTTGATTTATACAAGTAAGATATGATTTCATATTCTAAAATAATAATTCAATAGAAATACAAGAAGTACACGAACACATATTTACTCTTTCGAGCTTCATGGCTCTGATACCAATCGACTGATGAGGCAGGATCAAGAAATCACAATAAAACTTTTGACAATAAAATTAAATAAGCAAGGCAAGCATAAATCAAAAAGTACCATGTTTGGTATTGATACAAACTTCTTTGCTACAATTTGAACAAACTCTTGGAGCTATGACAAAATTAAAATCTAAAGATTTTGAACATCTTCAGGTTGAGAAAACAAGGGAAGGCTTTCTTTCTCTAGACATAACATTGTTGGCTAATTTTCCGATGTCTTGATTCTTCAACCTTAGAATTCTTATATAGGCATCTTGAAAAGGTGAAACCAACACGTGTCTTTGAACAACAACAATGATTGATCTACTTTTATCGGGAACCGGCTGCTGCGGATTTGAAGATCTTCATTTGAAGTCCGTAGAATGGCAAACAAAAGTAAAAACTACTTTTGACAATCTTGGCTAAAGACAAAAGTAAAAGCTACTTTCAAAAAGTAAAAGCTATTTTTGACAATCTTGCCTAAAGTGGCCATCTTCCTTTTTGACGAGTTGACAAAGTGAGCAGCTGAAGTAGGCATCTTTGAGGACCTGAAACTAATAGTTTGAACAACATATAATTTTATCAATACAGAAAGAATTTGTATTGATAATATTTTTGACCATCAACCCATTTGACCATCTTTTAAGAACAATCTTGCTAACAATGGCAAGGCACTAAAACACACGCTTTACATGATTTTAGTCGAAAGGACTAAACTCATCGTAAGGGTTTTGAGAATCTTGAAACAAATTTTGATCATCTTCAGGGTTAGAACTAGATGAACCCGGTGCAGACTTCTTAATCTCTTGAAACAATCTTCTCATTTCTTCTGGGGATGGAGCATTGAAAAGACTTTGAAGCTCATCATCTTCTTCTTTAGTTAAACTAGTTTGAACAGGATGAACATTCTCTAAAGTACTTGGAACACCGAAGCCTTTGGATTGAGTAAAATAATTAACAACTCCTTGGATTGTCATTTTTATCGTTTGATYAGCAGGTAACTTGTCCCAYCACTTAACATTTGATAYGCGGTATAGAAATGTTGAGGAAGTGGTTTCTTCTTCTTTCACTAAGAATTTCCATGTTAAGATCCATGGAATTTTGAACAAAATGGTGAATTGAAGGAGATATTCACCTTTGGAAATCTTCTGAGGATATAGTTCTTGAAATTTTGAAAATCCATCTTGAACAGGCTTAGGAAAAGCTTCAATTATATTTCCTAAATACTGAAACCATTTGATCATCTACTCAGGATATCCATGGTTAAAATTGAAATTCTTATCGAAAAAGATGAATCATGAATGTGAGAAACATCTTAGGTAGAAAACTTTGAACCAAGCATCTTGATAATCATAATAATTATAGCTAGGAATCTGAGAATAGTTTGACAGGGTTTTTTTTGTAAAATGTTTTAGTCCCCAATCGGTTTGAGTAAGGACTTTAAAGATCTGAGCTTTTGAATAATCTATGGTGTATGAAGAATGTTGTTGAGGATTCTTGACATGAGTAATATTAACAGAACAAGTATCTGCTAATATGGCTTCATAGTAATCTCTGGGTTTACATCCTATGTAGAGAGAATCTTTTGGAAAAGCAGTTTCTAAGAGTTTTGAAAAACTAACTTTGTGAGCAAGAACCTCATCAGGTTCAAGGATTTTGACCAACTGTTCATTTGGGTTTGTAATATAATTACAGGACTTGGTTTGAGGAAGAATCTTTTGAGGAGTATTGACAAGCTTGTAGGATCTCAAGGTAACAAGGTTTTTCTTTTGAGAAGGGGTAGTTGGAGAAAGCATAACGGGATTTTGAATCAATTGAAAATAAGTTGGATTATTTGTCAACGAAGAAAACCTATTTTGAACAACAAGGTTTGGGGGAGTTTGACCAGTGGCTGGAACACTCTTTGAAGTTTGACCAACAGCTACAACACTCTTCTTCTTTTGATCTGGTGTTTGGGGGGATAATACAGACTTCATTTTCCCTGTAAAAATTCTCTTGATAAAAAATCTGGTAAAAAATTATTTTTTCCTTTAATAAATTCTATTTGAAAATCAAAGTTACTTAGCAAGGTTTGCCATCTTACAAAAATTTGTTTTGAAATAATGTTCTTAACATCATTTTCTAAAATTGGTTTTGCTGATTGACAATCTTTCATGTATAAATCATCTTCAAATTTTTTAATACATAAATTATTAATTTTTTAGAATAATGTTTAATTTCTTCAAATTCATAGTTTATAACTTGTCTCATCCATTCAATACATATTGGGATATTTGATAATCTTATAAATATATAATCTGGAACTAATTGCTTATTTTGTTTTAGTATTAAGATTTCTATTATTAAGGCTTGTTTATCATTTTCTAATGTTACTAAACATTTATAATCTCTATTTATTTTCATCCAAGAATCTTCTATTATTCTTTTTGTTCTTTTATTTTCTAAAAGACATAATTCAAATAAAGAAATCAATGAAACCAGAACCATGGACTCAAAAACATACTCAGATTGTCAAGCATACCAAAGAAAAAGTCAAATATTTACCATGTCTTAATATACCCCATCCTAATGCTCAAATTATCGTAAAGACAGATGCTAGTGATTTAGGATTTGGAGGAATACTTAAACAAAAGATAGATAACAAAAATAATGAAGAATTAGTTAGATATTTTTCTGGAAGCTGGAATGATACTCAAAAGAATTACTCAACTGTTAAGAAAGAAGAATAAAATATTCTTGGATGAAAATAAATAGACATTATAAATGTTTAGTAACATTAGAAAATGATAAACAAGCCTTAATAATAGAAATCTTAATACTAAAACAAAATAAGCAATTAGTTCCAGATTATATATTTATAAGATTATCAAATATCCCAACATTTATTGAATGGATGAGACAAGTTATAAACTCTGAATTTGAAGAAATTAAATATTATTCTAAAAAATTAATAATTTATGTATTAAAAAATTTGAAGATGATTTATACATGAAACCATTTTTGCTAAGAGTTGATTATCAATCAGCAAAACCAATTTTAGAAAATGATGTTAAGAACATTATTTCAAAACAAATTTTTGCAAAATGGCAAGACTTGCTAAGTAACTTTGATTTTCAAATAGAATTTATTAAAGAAAAAAATAATTTTTTACCAGATTTTTTATCAAGAGATTTTTTACAAGGAAAATAAAGCCTGTATTATCCCCCCAAACACTAGATCAAAAGAAGAAAAGTGTTGTAGCTGTTGGTCAAACTTCAAAGAGTGTTCCAGCCACTGGTCAAACTCCCCCAAACCTTGTTGTTCAAAATATGTTTTCTCCGTTGACAAATAATTCAACTTATTCTCAATTGATTCAAAATCCTGTTATGCTTTCTCCAACTACCCCTTCTCAAAAGAAAAACCTTGTTACCTTAAGATCCTACAAGCTTGTCAATACTCCTCGAAAGATTCTTCCTCAAACCAAGTCCAGTAGTTATATTACAAACCCAAATGAACAGTTGGTCAAAATCCTTGAACCTGATGAGGTTCTTGCTCACAAAGTCAGTTTTTCAAAACTCTTAGAAACTGCTTTTCCAAAAGATTCTCTCTACATAGGATGTAAACCCAGGATTACTATGAAGCCATATTAGAATTGGGATTATGTGAGATCAATGGTTTTTTGTGAGACCAATAAGACCAATTCTCAACCCTGAGATTAGATCTATAATCTGAACATTCATAATCACAAAATTATCACGAGACTTCTCATAATCAATTAGATCATTAGCTTATAAAAATGAACATAAATTAGTCTTACGGGTCTCACGAAAAACCATTGATCTTATGTGAACCCAACCCTATATATATATATATATATATGTATATATATATATATGTATATGTATATGTTAGGTTACTTACTTTGCTTGAGGCAGGTTAGTTGCATAGGAAGAGCAAATGAAAAGAGTGATGCCAGGAGAACGAAGAATGATTTCTTGTTTAGGAAATCCATTTAATTTGATTGAAGGGGAGTATCTTATGATATTATCTTTTATAGATGAGCATATTTCACTTTGGTCCCTTAACTTTCTTTAATTGCTCTTTTTGGGATCTTTTCTTCCGCCTATTTGAGATATGTGGAATTTCATTTACATATTCTATAAAAAAGCCTTTGACTAACATATCTTGAGATTTTAGAAGTATTGATGAAAGTTTAGTTGATGTGGGATTCGAATACGTGTTTATCAGGGAAACCTAGACAGGTATAAATTCTTTCAGAGTAATAATACTGAGTTAGACAAGTACAGATTATCCTATAGTGTCGAGTCTTTTGAATGATTGATCTTGCATCTAATATCATGTGATATATGTGGAACCATTTAAGGTTACTTTCTAAAAGATTTCAAAAGAGCTCTTAAAGAGAGAAGAAATGTTCCAACATATACAAAGAGAAAAACCACCAGAAAAAAATCTGGTTTATAGCACGCCAAAAATGTTTTATATGTCTTAATAAACTGTTTTATAGAATTTAAGTTCATAGAACCAAACAATTGCAGATCCATTGTAAAAGTGTTACAAGAAGTTTATAAGACGCTTTTGGGTATGTTTTTAGACACTTTTAAAATAAAGTGTCTTATTAAATTTTTTTATATGACATTTTCACACATCTTTTTAAAAGACGTTTGTTTTTATGGAACATTTTTTTTTTTTAGAAAATGTCACATTAAAAATTAATAGAACTCTTTATTTTAAATTTGTCCTCAAAAACTTGTTAAGAAGTCCAAAAGTGTCATATAAACTTATTATAAAACTTTCACGTAAGATGCATAATTGTTTGACCCTCTGAACCTAAGTCCTGAAAACGAGTCTTGAGACTCCAATAAGCCCCCTCAAATATAAGCAAGATAGATACATATTTTCCTAGTGTCTAGAGGAGGCTAGATGAGCACATATTATTCCAGAGTGTTGAATTCTTAGAATGGTGGATTTTGCATTTAATATCATGAGATATATGTAAAATCCTGTTAGATTATATTGAAAAATAGCCCATAAATAAATATTAGAGATTACGATATATATTAAGAAGAAATGATCAAGTATCTTAGACGTGGGACAGTAACAAACCAAAATGTAAATTTAGGGGTCCATTGTCCAAAATTATATTGTGTAATTTTCTAATTCAAAATTTTATTATAATTCAATTTAGGTTTAATAACGAAATAATTTATATTTAGTTTAATAATATATTTTTTTTATAAATATAATAATTAATTATTTTGTTAGACTTCGATAATTATTTTAATTACATTTTAGATTTTTTTATATTTTAAAATGAGATGTTTATCCTCTATTTGATTATGTTTATCCTCAGTTAGTTACATAAATTCAAACATGAAGCTTTAATAAGTTGTACTTATGCACAATTTACATGTAATCTTGAATTTTAAATAATATGCATCAATATACAATACTTTATGCATAAAAAATGGTTTTTAAAAGATTTTGTCAAATGCTTTATGATATATTAGAAGGGTACTCGCGCAATGCAGCGAGATACATCTTGATTTTAATATTTCATTTTATTCTTTATCTCAATCAATGTTATAGTATGGTCGTATGTGATTTTGAAAAAGGGATAATGTTTTTATTTTTGAATAAAATATAAATTTAAAAATATCATAAAATTTTGACAAAAAATATATCGATATTAGTATCAAATTAACTATTTAAAATTTCTATTTTTTGTGTAATTTTTTAATTCAAATTTTTTATTATAATTTAATTTTGGTTCAATAACGAAGTAATTAATATTTGTTTAATAATATA